CTTTGCTTACGCAGCAGCAAGCATTTTAACTCTGCAGTCATTTTCCTTGCCTTGATGGGAACTCTCAAGCATAAGGAAAGCACGGATAACACAGGCTGGTACAGGTGCACCAATTCATTAACTAGGCAAGGTGGGCATTAGCAGACTTCCCCTGGGGTTTTGAGGAAGTAATTTTAAGTGAGACCAGACAAGTCAAGCAAGCTCAGACACTTTGGTGTTGGAAGAGTAGGCAGGAAACAGTGAAACCAGCTGGAGTTTTTTGTAGGTAAGCACAACAGAGGGACAAAGGGTCAAGAGCGATGTGAAGGGACCTGACAATCTATGCTGCCCAAATAGACACACACACACAGGAGACCAGCAATAAAATAAATAAAAAAAGGCAGGAAGCCTGGTGGCTAGAGTCTCTTGGGGATGGGGCTTAGGAATCATCAACTGGGAAGAGAAGTGGTGGTCACAGCGGGAGGCACTTGGCAGAGCTCACCATCAGCACCAAGGTCTGTCACTGAGTTCCTCTGAGAACCCTAACAAAGGCAGGATGAAGATCCTTTAAAGGAGAATGACTCCTGCACTGTATTTGGCTCTTTTCCTAAGATCAAAGCCATGTTGGCAGGAAGAGAGAAAAAGAACACTAGCCTTCCCTGTTCAATCTGTCACAGGGCAACCACAGAGAATTCATATTCAATCTCTAACAGTCTCAGAACCCTAGATTGCTTACTTTGAACAAGAAATCACATGATTTATGTTTTATTATTTATACAGTGCACTGACTGCATAATCTTGTAAAGAATGACCCATCTGATCAAGTCTAATCGACTTCAGTTATTTCTAGCATAAAAATTAGAAAAGGTTATGTGAATTTTTCCCTTCCAAAACTAAGGTTTTGTTTTTCGAGACAGGGTTTCTCTGTATTGTTTTGGAGCCTGTCCTGGGACTCACTCTGTAGACCAGGCTGGTGTCAAACTCACAGAGATCCGCCTGCCTCTGCCTCCTGAGTGCTGGGATTAAAGGCGTGCGCCACCAATGCCCGGCCAAAACTAAGTTTAATAAAGTCAGAAAGTCTTATTTCTCTTTCTCCTCTCTTTCTCTCTCAAACTAATCATTTAACCAAAATTGAAAACAACCATACTCAACCATGCTGGATAATTTTGAATGTCAACTTCATAGGGTCTAGAAACACCTAGAAGATAGCCTCTGGACAAGACTGTAAGGAATTACCTAGATTAGGCCAACTGACATGAGAAGCCCCATCTGCCGTGGGTGGCAGCATTCCATGGGCTGGAGTCCTAGGCTGAATAAAAAGGAGAAAGTGAGTTGATCTCAAGTATTCAGTGCTTATAACTTGGGCGCTCTCTCTTCTTCTTCTTTTTTTAAATAATTTATTTTTATTTTATATGAATTGGTGTTTTGCCTTCTGCGTGAGGGTGTTGGATCCCCTGGAACTAGAGTCACAGACAGTTGTGAGCAGCTATATGGGTTCTGGGAATTGAACCCTGGTCTTCTGGAAGAAGAGTCAGTGCTCTTAACCTCTGAGCCTTCTCTCCAGCCCATGCTCTCTTTTCTGAATCGACCCTAAACTAGCAGGGCTGCAGACAGATGCTTTCTCAACATTCCTGTCATGTGACCAGCACTTTCACTTGCCTTCCACCAAGAACCCTACCACGATATACTTACTCTCAAACTCAAAGTCAGAATAGATTCCTCTTTCCTGAAGTTGATTTTGTTGAGACAACAAAACAAGTTAACTAATAAAATATAACGAAGACCTCCCAAAAATCAATCACCAGCCAGCCAAATAAATACTTATACAAAACCAGAAAAACACACACGCTTTGGGTATAAAGTTTTATAGAGGATTGAAAAACGCATCCCTTATGAAGTTGTCAGCTAGGATATCTGAATGAGGTTAGTCCTTTAGAAACAGCTGAGGGTACAAACCCAGTATTGCCATTGTTTCTAGTCATTATTTTCATTTCTATGGAAACTAATCTATTTCGAAGACATGAATGGTAGAATACTAGTACACATGAGATTTATATAAAAATATCCCTGTACTACACTCACACCACAAGGACATTTGCTCCAATATGTTCATAGCAGCATTATTTATACTAGCCAGAACTTGTAAACAACCTAGTTGCCCCTCAACCAAAGAATGGATAAAGGAAATGTAGTACATTTACACAGGGGAATATTACTCATCGGTAAACAAACAAACAAACAAATTAACTAACAAAAATGACATCTTGAGATTTGCAGGCAAATGGACAGAACTAGAAAAAAAAAAAACATCCTGAAGTAGGTAACCCAGACCCAGAAAGACAAATATAGTATGTACTCACTCATAAGTGGGTACCAGACATAAAGCAAAAGATACCCAACCTACAATCCACAACCCCAGAGAAGCTAGAACCCTCTTCCAGAAACAGATGGAAGCAGATGCAGAAAGCCACAACTAAGCATTGGGATAAACTCGTGGAGTACAATCGAAGTGAGGGAGGAGTGATAATATGAACAAAGGAGTCAAGAGCACAGAATCAGCTAACCTGAGCTAGCGAGAGATCACTGCGCAGGTCTGACAAATGGGGAACCTGCATAAGATCGAACTAGACTCCCTTAATATAGGTGACAATGGTGTGACTGGGACAATATATGAGGCCACTGGCAGTGGGTCCAAGATCTAACACTAATGCACAAACTGACTTAGTGGAGCACATTCACTCTATATGGAGAGATACGTTGCTCAGCCTAGACTAGGAGTGTGGGGGTAGGGAGGTGCCTTGGTCCTGCCTCAGCGAGATGATTTGGGAGAGACTTAGCAGACTTCCTAGGGGAAGCCTTACCCTCTCTGAGGAGCAAATGGAAGGTGGTGGTGGTGGGAGATGTGAGGAGTGGGAGGGGAGGAGGGGGTTCGAAAAGTAAAAACTAAATTAGTAATCAAAAAAGAAATGTGAAGTGAGTCAGCTGTAACCCTCGTAAGAAAAAAAAACCCCGTACTTTTACTTATCACTACATGATTGAGAAAACACAGACTCTATTACTAGTTCCTCAATGGAAGATCTGTCTTCTAATGCTCCACCCGGACTCGGAAACCTGTGCCGCAGCAGACAACCCTTAATTAATGACTTGAGCCCTGACTACAATATCTGGGGATTGGGAAACAGAATTAGTGTTCTCTCTTCTGAATTAACACCAGACTACAAGGGCTGCAGATGTATGTATGCTTTCTCAATATTATGGGCAAATATGTCACCAATAAAGCTTCCTGCCAATTCAACAGGGGCAGATGTATGCTTTCTCAATATTTCATGCAAATGTGTCACCAATAAAGCTTCCTTGCCAGTTCAAAGGAACAATAGATGACCATTACTTTTTGTTATTATTAAACTTCAAAGGGCACTCAGAGTAAGGAAGTCACACTTAATCTCTCTTGTACATAGAATTTCACAAGAATATGAAATATGAATTTCATATATATCATATTCATAATATATATAGCAAATGTGTAGGACAAAAGTCTATAGTTACCTTTCACTGTTTTAAAAAAGTATATGAACAGTGGTGGAGTGCTTGCTTAGAATGACTCAAGTTCTAGGTTTCATTCCTACGACTGCAAAAAAAATCAGATAAAAAGGGTGTCTGCTGTTCTTACAGAAGATCTGAGTTCAGGTCCCACCACCCAAGCCAACTAGCAGGCTCTCTGCAGAGCAGACTATGTCCTTAGTTACCTATAAGTCTTCGTCTAGGGTTGAGGTTCCATTTGCTTCCCCCATTCCATGTTAACATGTCTACTGGTGTCGGCCTTGCGCAGGTCATGCTTAGGCAGCAGTGTTGGTGAGACTTCACTGGTATAGCCTCTAGCATTTTTAGAAGGGGAAGTCTCAGCAAATTTCCTGTTCCTCTGGATCTTACAATCTTTCTGCCCCCTCTTCTGCTATGATCCCTCAGCCTTAAGGCAGAAGTTGTGCTGCAGATTTCTCAGTTAGGTCTTGGTATCATACCGCAGGTCACTTGTTCTCTGCATTTTGATTGGCTGTGGTTTTCTATAATGGTCTCTGTTGCAAAGAGACATTTCACTGCCGACGGACTTTGCCAAGTCTATCTTTTCCAATGTAGGTGTATACTCGTTCTCTGTTCTTTATGTATATGATGCCATCATTACTCTAGTTTGTTTTCATTTTTATCCTATGAGTGTTTGCTTTCGGGATGTTTATCAGTTTGTCTTTAAAGATTCTCTCCCTCCCCCCAGGAACAAACTTGTCTCAAATTTGTGATCTTCCTGCTATGATTGTTGAGTCCATGTTGTGATTCCAGGCATGGACATCATGCACCAAGTTTTTGCTTTTAATGTGACCAACTTCATCAAACATTTCCTTTGTTACCTGTCTATGCTTTTCTTTTAAAGAAATCCTTGTTGCCCAGAATGTATAAACCTATTTTTATGATTTCTTTTAGAGCTTTTAAGCCAGTATTGCGTTTCATATTCGTCTTTTTTTTTTCTGTTTCAAAAAGCTTTATTTTCACTTGGTCCAAGACCTGGGATGTGGGAACACCAGACCTTGAGCAGAGACCCACTTCCCCTTCTGCCTGGGAGTAGGCAGCTGTAAGACAATGTTTGGTAAAAACATGTTTACTAAAAACGATACAATAAGTTCCTGGCCACTTCCCCTTCTGCCTGGGAGTAGGCAGCTGTAAGACAATGTTTAGTAAAAACATGTTTACTAAAAACGATACAATAAGTTCCTGGGAAAGGCCTTCCCACGGAAACCGCCCTGACCTCGACCTTGTCCAGAGACTAACCGCACCTTCAAAAAACCCACACACATCCACCTCTGGTGTCAGAGCAGAACCAGCCAGGGGAGAGGAGAGAGCAGAGGCTTCTCTGGTGGGAGCCTTTCTTAGGAAGTTTTTCTTGAACCTTTTTGGAGCCTGTTTAAAGTTCTCTTTATATCATTGAACGAGTCTCTGTGTTATCAATACCCGACACCCTCCGCACGTTCTCGGACACAGGCCGCGCAGCAGTCGTGACAATTGGAGGTCCCACTGAGATCGTGAAAGCGAGGTAAGTGGACGGGGTTAAGAAACTATGGGGAATAGTTCCGGGAAGCTAGAATCATTGCAGTATCAACTAAAAAAGTTACTTAAAGAACATGGGACTGCAGTCAAGTCTAAAACCCTAGAAGGCTTTCTAAAATCGATCGAACGAGCCAGTCCATGGTTCATTACTGGGGGAAGCTTAAATATTCCAGATTGGGAGGAGGTTCGCCGTGATCTTCATAGACTTTTACGAAAAGAGGGATCTGAGTCCTTGCCCCCTATGACATTCTCCTTATGGAGATTAGTGAGGGGAGCACTTTTGACAGATAAGGTTCATCACCGCCAGGTAGTTCAGGACACAAAAGAGGCTTTTTTAGAGTTACAAGAGACTGAGACTCAAGCCTCCTTGAGTTCAGGGGCAGAGAGTGATGATGAAGAGACCGTGATTGAAACTAGAGGCTCCATTGTTAGTGAGGATGAGGAGGAGTCTCTTAGTAACAACAAAAAAACGGGTAGACATCTCCAGGCGCGACCCAAAAAGAAGGACTCTGGTCAGAATCGGTTATATCCTTCTCTATCAGACCTAGAAAATGGAAGTAGCTCAGACTCAGACTCGTCACAGTCTGAAAAGGAACGGTTACTTGCTGAGATCGCGGCCCTTAAAAAAGAACTAAAAAAGATTCTAATTAAGGAAAGACAGGACAGGGAGAGAAACCCTTCCCCATACTCTGAAAAAAGGGACTCCTCCTATGAGATAACCCAGTCCTTCTTGGACCTGTGGGGAAGACCCCTCCCACCTAAAACAGGGGTTCAAGGTCCCCCAAAGACGGGAAAGGGAGGGTGACCCTACTTGACCTAAGCCAGGAGTGCCTCATTTGAAAATAAAAAGGGGTGAATTGTGGGAACACCAGACCTTGAGCAGAGACCCACTTCCCCTTCTGCCTGGGAGTAGGCAGCTGTAAGACAATGTTTGGTAAAAACATGTTTACTAAAAACGATACAATAAGTTCCTGGCCACTTCCCCTTCTGCCTGGGAGTAGGCAGCTGTAAGACAATGTTTAGTAAAAACATGTTTACTAAAAACGATACAATAAGTTCCTGGGAAAGGCCTTCCCACGGAAACCGCCCTGACCTCGACCTTGTCCAGAGACTAACCGCACCTTCAAAAACCCACACACATCCACCTCTGGTGTCAGAGCAGAACCAGCCAGGGGAGAGGAGAGAGCAGAGGCTTCTCTGGTGGGAGCCTTTCTTAGGAAGTTTTTCTTGAACCTTTTTGGAGCCTGTTTAAAGTTCTCTTTATATCATTGAACGAGTCTCTGTGTTATCAATACCCGACACCCTCCGCACGTTCTCGGACACAGGCCGCGCAGCAGTCGTGACACTGGGATGGGCTCCAGGGTGGTTACAAAGCTGCCTAGAGGCTTGAGAGGTCCGGGTGAAGGTCCTGAGGCTGGCTGGTGCAGAGCAGAGGGAGCCCCTTGGAAGGCAAGGCCTCCTAATCATGCTTAAGGGTGAGGCGCTCAAAGAGATACCCGCCCAGAGCCGGCTGGGCCATACCAGTCTGCGCTGTCAAGTCTTTAACCTGTCTGGCCCTGGCATTGTTTGTGGTTACAAGGCAGGTCATATTTTCCTTTTGACTTTTCAGACTGCTCAGGGAATAGTCCGTCTTCCTAGAAGTGTGGAGTTCAGTCTGGTGGCAGCTGTCTGCACTGGATGCGCATGCCTCTGTGCTTCTACTACTACTCTTCCGCGACACTACCATACCTACAGCAACAGGCCTTTCAAATTTATTCTGGCAGTTTGGGCTCTTCATTTTGTATATACGCATTAAAATTCACTTTTGAAGTTTCTTCAAAAACATTACTGGTCTGATTATTTGGAGAGAATTGACAGTTACATGTTATCCTGACATGGTAGCTGTCATGGTATTATCTTACTGTACACTGTGAAAGTGTGTCTTTGCCAAGGTGGATTCTGATCGGTCAAATAAAAAGCGGAATGACCAATAGCTAGGCAGAACTTACTGGCAGAAAGAGAGGAAGAGGAGATGGATCTATGTGTAAAAGAGCCGACAGATGACACGGAAAGGAAACAGTAGGTGCAAGATGGAAGAGAAGTAAAAAACCACTCAGCAAAATGTAGAGTAATATAAACGGGGAAGACCCGCCTACAGGTAGTCATTCTAGTAGTGTCCGGATCATTTCAATGAGTGCTACAGAAGTGAGCACACCACTATCCATTTTGTATCCTGCTATGTATACCACAGATGGCCAGCCAAACCAATAGGTCAAAGCATGTCTTTTTTTTTTTTTTTAAAGCAGGTCTTAAAAAAAGAAAAGAATGCACCACATTTTCTCTATTTACACAATGGAATACTATTTGGCAGAAAAAAAAATGGAATCCTGAAATTTGCAGGCAAATGGATGGCACTAGAAGAAACCATCCTGAGCGAGGTAACCCAGTCACAAAAAGAGAAACATGGCATGATCTGGGGATTGCCAGCCTACAATCCCATGGCCAGAGTCTGGGAAACAGAACCTTCATCCAATGGCTGATGTAAGCAGAGGCAGACTCCCATGGCTAAACACTGAGCTGAACTCAAGAAATCCAGTGACAGAGAGGGAGGACTGATGACCAAAGGCATTAAGACTGGGCTGGTTTAGCCCCCAGAAACAGCTGACCTGACAAGGGTTAGCTCTTGAATCCCAGACTGATTGATGCATGGGAATCCAGCATGGGACTGATCAAGACCCCTTGAATGCGGGTGTCAGTGAGGAGGCCTAGGTAATCTATTGAGCCTTGGGTAGTAGATCAGTATTTATCCTGGGTATACAAATGGACTTCGGACTCCCATCCAACAATGAGAGATGCACTCTCACCCTAGACTCTTGGGGGAGGGTCTAGGCCCTGCCCTGGATGAAATGACAGACTATGGACATCCCCATGGAGGACCTCACCCTCCCTGGGGAAATGAGGGGATATTGGAGGGGTTGATGGGAGGAGGGGAGGGAAAGGGAGAGGGACCTGGGATTGACATGTGAAGCAACCTTGTTTCTAATTCAAATTTAAAAATTAAAAAAAGAAAATATAAAAAAGAAAAAATCATCTTATGAATTGTAAAGTTTACTTAAAATGCATTTTTGAAAAATTATTTTCTTGGCTTGCTTAATCGCTAAGAAAAGTAATATCACTCCTTGGTTATTCTTACAAGACACTATTTGCTGTTTCTCAAAACTTCCCATGCCAAAGTTAGCAGAAATGAGTTGTTGTATGTTAAGTCATGGGGTAATTTTTAAAAGCTACACAGAGCAATTAATGTGGCCATTCAGCCACCAGGAAGATTATTTCCCTGTTGTAAGGACAAGATGCATGTTTGGTCCCCACAGTCCTCTCCAGATGGGGTTCATAATGACACTGCAACCTGCCCAATCTCTGGGCTCCAGTTGGTTTTGGTTCTTAGGTCACACCAAGCAGGATGGTCTCTGCATGAGCTCCTGTTTCCCAACTCTCATTTCAATTCCCGTTGACGACGCTTAGGCCAGTGCGTCTCAAACTCTAATATTATGCACAAGTCTCAGGGCTCTCAGTAAAAGGTGTGAGCTGATTTGGTTAAATCTGGGGTGAGACCTGAGTCTGACTCTTTGCTAAGATACTACATGGTGCTCAGGCCAACTATTCAGTGGTCAGTGTGGAGGAACAAGGCTTTAGTTCTTAGCCACACTGCCTCTCAGGAGAACTGGTTCTGAGGTCACCTCATAAACACCAGTGGTTCAGTTGATGCTCAGTCACCTTCCTGTTGGCTCATGCCACATTCCACTGTAGCTCTCACTCACCATGTGACCCAGTCCCCAACCCCCACTGACCCAGTGTCCGCTCCTTTGTTTCTTGGGAGAGAAATGCCATCCACTGAATCAGTCCCTGACTTAGGCTGAGTCACCATCCTCCACGATGCTGACACCACAGGTTCATTGCCCTAAACTTAACCACCACAGCACTCCAGCTCATCTTTGGTTAACACTCAAGGTATTTTCTAATTATGATGATATTCACTTATTTGGAGTTTACAAAGCAATGGCCTATTCGATTTGCTATGTACTGACGTCTGATTTGCTACATACTGACTTTTCTACTCTCACAGGCTAGTCGGCAGTAGTACAGTCTGCTAGTACTCCAGCCAGGCACAGGAGAAGCAGAAAAACAAGCAAACAAAAACCAAACCAAACAACAGCAGCAAAAAGCAAATGCCAGAGCGTTGGTGGCGCACGCCTTTAATCCCAGCACTCGGGAGGCAAGGGCAGGTGGATCTCTGTGAGTTCAAGATCAGCCTGGTTTACAAAAGCTAGTTCCAGGTCAGCCTCCAACGCCATAGAGAAACTCTGTCTTGAAAAACAAAAACAAACAAACAAAAAAGCAAATGCCAGTCACTACTGTCAGATCCTAATCTATACCTTAGTGGGACGGATGGCTCAGAGGAGGGCAGAGGCAAGAGGAAGAGATACACATTGAATACATCCTTACCTTTTGTCATTAAAAAGAAAAAGATTGCTTAAGCCAGGCATGGTGGTGCATGCATTTAATCCCAGCACTTACAAGGCAGAGACAGATAGATCTCTGTGAGGTCAAGGCCAGCCTGTTTTACCATAGCAAGCTACGAAATCTACACAATGAGATTCTGCCTCAAAATAACAACAGCATACAAATAAAAAAGAACCCGATTTAAATAAAAATCATTGCTTAAATTCTTACAAAATTCCTTTTTCCTCATATTTAAAAAAGGGCCAGCTAAAATGCTGTAGGAAAATTATGTTAGTAGCTGAGTAGAAAGATGAGAGCTTCTGCATAAAATAAGTTGCAACAGGGGGATATAAAACAGGCTTCCGTGTACAAAGCACACAACAGGAAGAAGCCATAGCACTGCTGCCAAGAGAACTGCCTGCAAAGCAGTGCTAAGGCAAAAGCTAAAAATAAACAAGCTATTCGCAAGCATGTGCATGGTTTGCATGCAAAGCCCAGAACTGTCATTTCCTTTGACTAATAAAAAAGTAACGATAATTGTCACATTTAGTATCAGAAAGGAACAGCTCTTGACAATTAAATATATCATTGCATTATCTGAGAAAACAATTAATTAATTAATTATATCATTGCATTACCTGAGAAAAAACTACTGGTCTCTAAATCAGAAGTTTTAAATATATCGTCACTACAATGGGTTGTGGTTTACTTTGAAATTAATATTAAAACAACTTCACACAGCCTAACAATTTGGTAAACTGGTTGACATGGTCAATTAAAAATAAATTTGGACTGGGGTTGGAGAGACGATTCAATGGTTCAGTTCACAGCAACCACATGGTGGCTCACAACCATCTATAGTTCTGATGCCCTCTTCTGGCTGCCACAGGTACCAGGCCCAAACATACATGCAGATAAAACACTCATATGATTAAAAAAATTTTTAAGACAAAATCTTGTATGTCTGAACTCTATCTATCTATCTATCTATCTATCTATCTATCTATCTATCTATCTATCTTTTGAGACAGTGTTTCTCTGTGTAGCTCTGGCTATCTGGAGCTAGCTCTGTAGACCAGGCTGGTCCTGAACTCAGAGATTTGCCTGCCTCTGCCTCTTAAGTGCTGGGATTAAGGGCGTGTGCCACTACTGCCTGGCGAATTTAAATGTATATCAGTGAGATTCTCTCCCCCCTGGGTGGGGGTGAGGGGGAGCTCCTGAGCCATTAAGTGACCAAAGCATAAGGCGGAACACCAGATGTAAATGATTACTAGAAAAATAAAGAACAAGATAAAATTTAAAGCACTGTCAATAGGGACCAGCAAGATGGCTCAGTAAAGGCACCTGCTGCCAAGCCTGACGAGCTGACTGATTACCAGACCCATAGTGTGGAGGGCAGAACCAACAGACTCCTACAAACTGTCCTCTGGCCTTCACGCATGGGCACTATGAACTGTGTTCACTCTAACATACACATTCACACAGACTCGGGTTAGGGTTGACATAGCATGAATATCAGTACGTAATGAACTGTACAAACATACACAGTTTTTTTCTGGAAGCACAAATCCAGAAGACTATGTTTTTCAGACAAATTCTTCTTCAGTTGACATTCCAAAGCACACAACTGTCTTTGCTTTATCATAATGATGAATTCACAGTTTTGCTAAAAATAAGGAGATATTTTAATTATGTATGACCTCAAATTTTTATAAATTATTATCCCCCATGCATACTTCCAATTTTGGAGTATCATTTAGTCAACATTAGCGTTAGTCTGATGTTAGATGACATTTAGTAACCAGAATTACTAACCCAGCCGTATTCTTTACCAGACTACAGTGAAGAAACACATACACGGTTAAAGAATGAGAGGAAAGAAACTAAAACCATGATTCTTAGTGACAAGGCAGGTGGCCGAGGTCTTAACCGCTTGGGGAGTCAGGGTGAAAGTCTAGTCCAGGGTTTGCTTTTCCTCCACTTTTCCTCCACATCTCCTGGCTGTGTAACTCTGGGCAAACTGCCCGACTTCTTGATTTGTGCAGTGAGAGAATCTGTGCGGATGCTTACGTAGGGAGGTAAAATAACAGCAGCACATGAAAAATGGTGGCTAGTTTTATGGGGACCACAAGAATGTGCTGAGAACACATATGAATTTGATGCGGTAAAGCTATTAAATACTCATCTATAATACTACGTTCCTAGATGATGACACAAGCTATTGAAGTTGGCAATTATTCTCAAATTATTTTATAAGCCGAATGCTAAGCCAAGAAGTGCTCCGGTGGGGTGTTTCCTTAAGTTTATATAGGCAAAGGTTGGGAAAGGACGTTTTAGAGTTCCAC